GCCCAGCCTGTGGCCCAACGGGCGGCAGGCAGGCGGCTTCTGGGGTCGCAGATGGGGGCCTGGATGGCAGCTCTTGCGCTGTCCCGCCCTGCCCGCAGTATGCAAATTAGCCACCATCTTTGTTGGCAGTTAATTTGCACATCACACTGATTAGCCAATGGGAGGCATAGCGAAGGTACAGTCAATTACCACGTTTGTCTATTATTAGATAGGACGCTTATATGCTCATTCCTTCATCTCCCAAGCCTTCCAGGCAAGGTTCTAAAAATCTGCCTGGTTTCTGCCCATAGCAGTTGGGAATTTCCCTTTCATGTTTAATGTAATGCATGTTTCTGTCACTACTGTCTGACAGAAGGCAAAACTTGGTATTAGTTGTTACTTTGGCATGAACCTGAGGCTGATGTAGTAACAGCCTCTACTTGCTCTTCTTGCAAGCTAAGTTAACTTGGGACACATTTTGTGGATGTGGACAGATTAGACACAAGTCTCCTAGGTCAAGGACAAAGGACTGTTACTTACATTAATAGAAGAGTGTCAGCATTGTCAGACACCATTTCCCCAAGGCCCAGTTCCCAAAAAGCAATGCCAAGAGGACTAGTGTCATCTGTACATGCAGTGAGCTCTGTTATAAGAGAGGAGTTCTGAGCTTAGGGAACCCCAATCGTTTATAGTAGGCAGTAAACCTATTATATCAACCATTTTTCACTCATCTTGTATGTCCCATAGGTTTAGCATGCAGAAAGTGCTGAGAAATATTCACTGAACTTAACAATCCAACTAACTGGTTGTGCTATAAGCAAAAATATGTTCACATTGTTTCTGAAACTTAAAACATCAAACATATTAATGGAAGAGTAAATTAATTTTATTGACTGATGAAAAACTAAAGTGATAAGAAGTATGGATAGTAAACAATAACCATTGTGTTCTGCTGGAATTCTGTTTTTCTTCTTTTCACTTTAAGCCAAAAGGACAAAAAATTATAGACTGTTAGTAAGCTAATTGTTTTACATATTTCTTCAACAAAAACTGCATAGCTTAGCAGTTGCACAGCATTAAATATATACATTTTTGCAAAACCCTGAAAGTTTTAATTTTTGTGTTGACCTCAAAGGCTAATGGAATCACCTACACTGGTCGAATTCAGAGTTTCTTTTCCCTTTTCTGCCACCCTGTAAAGAAAAATAGGGCAAATTATTTAGAAAATACCATTTTGGGGCCATTTTCATCTTAAGAATATATGAAACCAAAGGCATTTTGAGTATGAGAAGGAAGCATTTTTTGAATTTGTTGCGTATTTGAATATGCATACTACTAAATTATTTTATAGAGTTATTTTTACAAATGGTTAAAGTAGTTGTAGAAAAGTTACCCCTCTTTGAACTAGTCTAGATTTAGTAAGTTCACCAATTATGTTACTTTTTTTAGAGCTCTTTTAGACTGTCCCAGCTTTTTTTTTTTTAAATAAAAATTTTAATCAATACTAACACAATTTATTCCATATGATCCCTTTTGGGTAGTTCAATTTCTAATGCAAGTTTTGTCTAGTCTTCTTACCAGACAACAGCATTAGAAGTATGATTTTGTTCACCACTGGTTTGAAAAGTAGACTATACTTTTCATATTGCTCAGTGACATATATATATATACATCTGTATTTAATCTGCTCCAATTTGACTAGGGCCAAGAAAAGAGAAAGGCAGCTTAAAAGACAAGAAGTATTTTACATGAATTAACATAACATTTTCTGCTTTATTAAAAGTAAATACTAATTGTAGAAATATGGAAAGTACAAACGTACAAAGAAGAAAATTAAAGTCACCCATAACTACTCTACGTACCCCTCTTCATTTTAACCACAAAAATGATTTGATGTATTTGCCTTACAATTTTATAATTTTTTTCTCTCCATCTTTTATAAACTATGGCAGTGTATCCAAGTTAATTGACTAGAATCACGTGAGCAGTAATATTTATCAAATTCTGATGTCTAAACTTTGTCCCAGATCTATTTATTCACTATTACCAGGACTGGGCCAAACTAACTGTAATTCAAAAAGCTCTCAAGTGATTCTGATGATCAGCTAAGTCTGGGAACTACTTGTCTGTGAAAAGTGCATTTCTTAAATGGTGATTATGTTAGGGGCACATGAAACCCAGGCCTATTTAATAATGGTGGCAGCTTCTCTGTATTTTTCTCATCTCTTCACTGCCTATAACTTTTCCCTTAGTGATCAAAAACATTTCTATATCAACCTTCATTTAAAAAAAAAAATCAAGTGTGAAAATGCTGTTATTCATTCCTGACCAGATAAAAGTTTTCCAAGGATTCATTCAGAGAAAATAAGTATAAAGAGGTTATCTGGGACCTGAAATGTGTAATCTCATCTTAAAAACAAAATTTATTTCTTGATAGCAGAAAAGTAAAAATAAATTTTTCAAAAGTGTTTCTATAAAGTAGATCCCAACTTCACATAGGTATCAATGTTATACAGCTTAAAACTCTTACCTTGCTTCTCAACAAGATTTCTTTTTGTTGTTGTTGTTAAATATTTTTTAAAATATATTTTTATTGATTTTTTTACAGAGAGGAAGGGAGAGGCATAGAGAGTTAGAAACATATATGAGAGAGAAACATCGATCAGCTGCCTCCTGCACATCCCCCATTGGGGATGTGCCCGCAACCAAGGTACATGCCCTTGACTGGAATCGAACCTGGGACCTTTCAGTCCACAGGCCGACACTCTATCCACTGAGCCAAACCAGTCAGGGCAAGATTTCTTCTTAAATGCACAAAATATTTGAGAATCATTTTCAAAGCCTCCCAGGCAAATTCTCATTCCCAGACTGATAAGATGTCAAAGCTGGGGCTAAATAACTTTTATGTTCTCTAGGCCATCAATGGCTTTCCTTTTTTTTTTTACTATGACTTCACATTAATTTTTTATATCATGACTTAGAAACCCATACATACATATAAATAAATATATGTGTTTATATATATATACAGATACATATATACTAAAACAAACCATTAACATTTTTTATTACTTCACCCTAAATAAAATGCTGAATGCAAGTTTGTGAATGTAGAAGAACTTACAGAATTAAAAAAATCACTATTTTGCTACAAATATCAATGGATGCTAAACCATTGGGTAAAAAGGATCTCGTCACACAATCTCAAAGTATCACTCCACATATAATTTATATAATTTATTAATTTATAAATATACCTTTACAGTAAACACATCTAAAAGATACTGCTGTACACAAATGATTAAACTTATTATATAATGGGGCAAATGTCATTATGTGCTTTCCTTCGATATAAGTCAATGGCATGTATGCTGCATCATTTATGTAGTATCAAGAATTTTTTCTGAAATACTTTAGTTATGCTGCAAATATCAATATCTAGAAAAACCTTAACATTTTCTAAAATGTAAATTATATAAAACTGTTAATATTTCTGGTGAATAAATTTTGGCCTAAGAAAAAAATAGTCCACTTATTCTCAAACAGTATATATTTCAAATGTATTATTTGTGATGAAAACACTTTCAGAATTATAAAAGCATACCTGATATTTGGCTAATTCTGCTTGTAATACTTTCACTTTAGATCTTTCTTGTTCTAACGCAGCATGAAGTGAAGTCACCTATAACCAAATATTCAATTTTTTAAAAAGACATTTTTTGTTTTTTAGGCAAATACTCTTAATTCATTTTTATTTTTAGCTTTGTGTATTTTTTTTACATTCAAAATAATTTTGTATTCTTTTCAGATGTGTAAAGCATAATGGTTAGACAATCATATACTTTACAAAGTGTTCCCCTCAATATTTCCAGTACCTGCCATCTGGCATCAGACATATAATAACCTTAATTCTTAACACTTATTCACAATAATAATTTTTGACTACTGGATAAATTGAGCATCAGAAGAGAACCCTTCCTCACCACCCCAATTTCAATTAGGCACTTAGCTATATATTAGAGATACATAGGACAAGCTCACTGTTCTAAGACCATGGATTAAGAATGGGCAGGGCAGAAAATCAAGCCCAAGGGTAGGGTAAGTTCTATCTGCCCTTTCTATCTCTATATTCATAGTCCACATCAACTAAAATACAACCTTATCTTCACCTAGTCTTCAGGACATAACTACCTCCCTTAAACAGTAAATAGAACCTTCATTCATTTGCTAATATATAGTAATAATTTATATCACTTTCTTTTTTATTCAATTTATTAGGATGACACTTTAAATAAAATTATATAGGCTTCAGGTATACAATTCTTAATACATTATCTGTATACTGTATTGTGTGTTCACCAATTTATATCACTTTCTTGCAGTGTTGATGGACTATATTTTTGTTTAGTCAAGTTTCACAATTCAAGACTAAAGAACAGCCTAAGAATATCAGTCTTGTATAGTTTTCCTTACCTGTACAGTCAGTTCATTCTTGATACTTTGTGATTCATCAACTTGCAGAAGTATTTCTGCTTTATCTTTCACTGACAAAAAAGGGGGGGCGGGAATAGTAGTATAATTAATTTTGTCAATCACTTCAATGCTTTTACAGTACTTTAGTGACCCAAAATAGCAATGCAGTCAGGCAAAGATTAATTGTCCTCCTATTCAATGAATGTATTCCTTGATCCTATATAGTTCTTAGTTTTCATTGGAAATTCTGATAATATATTATCATATTCTTGGAAATTTTAAATTTTCTGTAGTGCTGAAAATTAATTGTACAGATATGATGAAAGAGTAAGTTTATCCATCTACAGTAAAGAGGACAAATACACAAGAAAATAAATTTCACATAGAGAGAAAACTTTAAACACCTTGACTAATCTTTTTTTGATTAATCTTTAAGATTAAAAAAATATAGAACATTTCTATTTTGTTTTCTTAAATTGTCAGGGTGACCATATACGCCCACAGAAATTATTTACATCTCATGTTTCATACCAATAAAGCACTGTCAAATAAACATAGCTCATATGATCATATCTGATCATATAACATCTGTGGTCTCTCAGAACTATTCGTTTGTCTAGAGGTTTTTTCCTTCTTTGGGGAAGTAAGAGATCTATATTTTAGCCCCTTAGTTTCCTTTAAGCATTAAAAATCTGCACATGGCCAATAAACCCCATGGTATAATGGCTACAGAATGAAAAGCTAACTCCTCAACTTTAAAAACAAGCTAAGGAAAAGAAAAACAAGAGAGGTTAAAGAGGTAAAACTATAATAAAATTTGTAAGAGAAGAAATGTTTAAGTTTTTTTGAGTACCAATATCACTACAACTCTACCAATATAATACTGTAAATCAAATTTATTTTTCATAGTTTAATATGATATGCAATAAGGTGTGTAACGTATCTAGAAACGTATCAATCTTTCAAGAATCAACTTGGGAACGTTTATGAATTACCCTTTCTACTCCTCCATCTTCATAATTAAACACACACACAACTAAGAAAGAGTGACTTTTTAATAATTATGTAATACTTTAATTATAGTCTCTTCTCCTATAATGCTTGTTTCAATGACACTGATATATTAGGAACAATTTGAACACAACAGGAATTTTGTATTTGCTTAAGCTCAATTGTGTGAACATAGAAAACTGCACCCATGCACACAATCAAAATAATCTACCACCTATCTCAGTTCAGTTCACCGATTTTCAAGTCTTCCATAACTTAACAGTAACACACAAGTTATTACTCTCTGAAGCCTACTTCTACAAGCAAACTAGGTTGTGTTTAACCATTTTTAACATATATAAAACTGTTATACTATTTTTATTAGATTCCCATCTTGTTTTAAATGTTTTAAAATATATATATATATTTTATTTCAGAGAGGCAGGGAGAGGGAGAAAGATAGGTAGAAACATCAAAGATAAGAGAGTATCACTGATAGACTGCCTCCTTCACACCCCACACTGGGGATTGATCCCCTAACCTGGGCACATGCCCTGACCGGGAATCAAACCATGACCTCCTGGTTCATAGGTCAGTGCACAACCACTGAACCACACTGGCTAGGTAGATTCCCATCTTTTTTTAATGTATCACTGATTAAGTTTTTGAGTGTTGTATGCTTCTAAGCCCATCTCCTCCATAGGCCTTATGGTTTTATCTGTGTGATTTTGCAAATATTGGTGAATTTAAGGAACACATGTTGCATTATAACAGAATTGACTGTTTTTACATTTATATTATAAATGACAGAATACATGTACTCTAATGTACTGTATTTTTCATGTAATGATCCTATATCAAATTCTTCTAGTTGGATTATTTACAGTATGGAGTATGGACACAAATTTTATTTACTGGTAGCCATTTTTAATCCATTATTGAGAATAAGCTTTTATCAATTAATATTCTCACTTTTTACATTTCTTTAAGCAAGAAATATTTCTTTTACATATTTAAAAAATCATATATCCTTGCCCTAACCGGTTTGGCTCAGCGGACAGAGCGTCGGCCTGCGGACTCAAGGGTCCTAGGTTCGATTGCGGTCAAGGGCATGTACCTTGTTTGCGGGCACATCCCCAGTGGGGAGTGTGCAGGAGGCAGCTGATTGATGTTTCTCTCTCATCGATGTTTCTAACTCTC